AGAAAGGATTAGGAAACTGTGCAAACAGATATGGCGATAAAATAGATGCCCGGATAATTTCGTTACACCCTGTACTGAGGTAGCTTTAGTGCCTTCGTAACATGTTACGAAGCTGTCAGAGAAAAAAATAGCGTTCTGCCCCTCCAACTTTTGCTTATTTGTAAAACTTCGTTGCTTAGCAAACCACGATGTTGTTCGCATTGAGGAGTACAATGGTACATACATGAAATGGTACATGGTACATGAAAAGGGTTGTGCAACTGTGAAATTCATGCCCTTGGTCTTGCTGGAGTCAAATGCCTATAGCTATAGCCTATAGCAGGATCAGTGAGGGTTGTAGACATGCTACATACACTGTGAATTGAAGATATTGGCACAAAGTTCATCCATAATTACTGTGCTTAACACCTTTTGTAAGAAGCAACATAAATGCCCAGATGATACAGCTCTCTGGTCAACATCACACAAATTTATTGACATACTTTGCAGGTACATATTTACATTCACAGCAAATACTTTTGATTTGATTCAATAACTAGGTGCTAGTAAGCTTGCATTTTTGTAGGTACAACAATGAACATTTATTTAATCATAAAAAACTTTCTCATGGCATTCATCACATACCTACCTTTTTACTGAACAAGTACCTATCTACCATGCAATGATTCTAAATTTTGTCCGCAATCCACCTATATCTCAACTGACACATTGAAATTGAAATATCCTAACAAAACCTAGAACTGCACAAAAGAAGAATGCAATGCTACAAGACCTCAATGAAGTTCTGAAGTTATTCTCACATGCTGGAATGTTGAAACTCTACTTTTGTCGTCCATTTCCACGTTTGATTGAGCCATCATATTGAACTGTTTTCACTTTTCGCTCTTCAGTCAGCTTTTGCACAAATCTTGAATTTTTACACATCATCTTGAACCATGCTCCAGTCTTTCCAACTAGGTACTATGGAACATCAAAGCAATTTTGTTTTGTTACAACAGCTTCAGATCATGATAGGCTTGAAGTTTGTTACACCATTTTGATTTGCCAGACAAACCTCTACAAAATGTGTATCAATTCCCAAACTAAGCAATTGATTATATCAGTATTTGCAGTTTCCACACAATATTTCATAATATTATTCGATTTTTATATCAAGAAACCCAAATAATCCACAAATTGTTATTGAAACACTCCCACTTCAAGACTTCACACTCGCAGCAATAACAATACAAGTTCAGAAGCAAATAAACATTGCGCCAGATTTCGTATGAAACGCGCCATCATCCTGAAGTTTCTACCACAGACGGTAGTTCAACTGCAGCCGTAGTGCGAAAACCCCTGCCCACCTTACCCCACGGCGGAGCTCGGTTGCAATTTGTAAATACGCCACCGGAACTCCTTCAGAGGCCATTACCACCTGATAGCTGATCAGGAGGGAGCTCGCAGCGAAGAGCTCAAATAGTGCTCCAAATGCTATCTTAAATTTGTTCTTGCACTGGTTGTTGTGCGCTTTAAAAAATCATTGATAGGTAGATACTATTATCGTATTAAATGTCATTATTTTCCCTTGACTATTATGTCCATTAGCAATCAAAAGGTTCCCGTGAACAGTTATAATGACAGTCGTTTACATATCATGTCGAAGTGAACGTTTTAATAACTATTTTCCCCGCTATTCAAAATATTTGTCGTATTGCTGCTTGTTTAGAGTTTCTCCTAAAAATAAAATCATGTGGGTGAAAAACAATTATGTAGGTATATTGCTTAGCGCCCGTACTGAATTTTGCATTTAAACTTCATGGTCATATTTCAATGATGCTGGATGCTTCTTCCTTCCATTTCAGAGTCAATTAGAGGCTCCACAGCATGATCGTCAGGATAGGACATCCGTGCCAACATCGACAGCTATCCCGACTTCAATCGGTCAAAGTCCGAGCCCTTCCGTGACTTCTCTCCCCACAACCTCTGAAACCGATCCCTCCCTCCACCCACCTGGCACCGAGTACCGTCCCGTCACTGACCCACCCGTCACCCACCCACCCGTCCCCGACCCACCCGTCACCGAGCGTGCCGTCGCCGCCGACACGCTCAGCTCCGTCGAAAGGGAAACCGATCTCGGCCGACAGCGGGGTGCGCGCGGCCGGCCGGTCACCGCGCGCTCCACCGGTGACGGGTCAGGTGAACCGTCACAGACAGTTCCGATCGGTGACACCCGCGGTCAGCCAGTCGGGGCGGATGGTGTCATTGGTTCGAGCAGAGTAGGAAATGCAGCGGCCGGCCGCGGAGGCGAGACCGGTGGAGATTGCGGTCCTAAATCAAACCCATTGTTGGAGGAACATGTGAGTGACAGAATGCGTAAACAAGGGAGTGAGATGGTCTCGAAACGAGAGCAAAACTCCGGTAAAGGCGAAGAGGATTCACAGAAAGACAAATATGAGCTTTTATTGAATTCCGTCTTATTAGAACAGGGTGCGATCAGTTCGCTTCAAGACGCTACCAATGGAGCGGAACCTGAACAAACGGTTTTCGAAGCTGACCCCCAACAAAACGTTCCAATTTTGATAAGTACGGAGCATAGTTTACTTGAAGTTGATCTTCCAGAGGCAGTCAATATAGCTGGTGTCCTACCTCAGATCGGAAAAGATCTTCGTCAAACGTTAATCCCAATCAGCGGAGGGTCACCTCGTCAGAAAACCGATACACTAGCATACGTTCGCCTCCCCAGCGAAACACAGCTAAGCAGCCACCATCCAACGTTCTCTTCTGTACTGAACGGCACCGAGGAATCTTCCAATCATCCCAAGCACGAGATGATTAGCGTGCGGAAACCTGCCGCTAACTCGATAAGTGGGCTACGAGCCGACACAGATATTACACGCCCAGTTACCGGCGCGGCGGCGGCCAGAACGGGGTCTCCGGCGGCCCCTGACCCAGTTCACAGTTCTGCCAGCACGGTGGACGCCCATGTGCGCAGCCACGCTCCATGGGGCCGCGTGCGACTGCCGGCACACTCGATCGACCGGCAGGCCGCGAATGATGTCAGGCGCGGCTCATCTCTCGCCAGCTCCGAGACCGTGAGTGGTCCGTCGACCAGTGATGACGCTTCTCATGCCAGCGAAGAGCAGCCCTGTCTCACGGGCGGCCTGACCGACTCTGTGAACGACGTGCTCCCACCGGCTGGCCCCCCTCTCGAGCGTGTCGGAAGGCCGGTCCGCTCTCAGGGAGGCAGCGTCCGGAGTGGAGTCTCAGAGCATCTGGGAAACACCGACTCCGCAAACCCAGTCTCAGACCAGATCGCGGACCGTATTCAGGCCGACAGGCTTAGGTCAGACACAGTGCCGGGCCACGCACAGCAAGGGTCGATTGATTTTGGAGAGCTGCCCAAGACCGAGGACACTGCGAACCAGACGCACAGCAAGGAGTCAACAGTTACGTTCCCAGATGGTCCACAAACTGTAGGCGCCGCCAAGAGGGAAGTGTATTACCCGGTCGATACTCCCTTCACACCCGGAAGCCATGTCCCGAATAGCCCGACGAACCGCACCCCCGACAGTCGTGAGAACGCAGCCGTCGCCGAGACCGCGGACCAGCTGCGTGAGGCCAGCACCGAGCGCATTCCCGGCCCAGCGCAGAGACGTCCAGCTGGGACACAGACGCACCACGAGCTCGACGGTGTGCGGCCGCAAACGGACCTGCCAACCGCCGCCGCCGCCACGACCACTGCCGCTGGTGGTTCTTTGGAGAAGGTGACCACAGTCGCTGATATTTCTTTAGACAAGGTGACCGCAGCACGTGCGCTTGCTGGTCCAGCTGTCGCCGCGGCTGTTGATACGACTACCTTGTGTTCAAAAGCAGAGGCTACCGACGACTCTTCGGGTGTTGTCAACGAAAACGAGGTTGGTGACAATGCATTAACCAATTATGTTGGGGAGATAACGAACCTAAATGTGTCTCATGATGGTCCACGTCGTGATCTGAACGTAACCGAATTGACAACCGGAGAACATATTTCTCAAGAGAATGCGGCGATTCAAGCACAAGAAAAGTGGCCCGAAGAGCAGCATGACCAACTTGACACTACATTAGCATGGTCTTGGGCTAACGAAACTAGCACAGAGCCTCAAGAAACTCCTCTGCCGTTGTCAGGCAAGGATTCATCCTCATTTACGACGACCACTGCGCCCCTATCCCCAAAGCAGATTCTCTCGACAGATGAAACGTTAGATACGGCACAATATGATAAAGAAGTAAAGGCACCTAAGCCGACAACGCCTGCAAAATATATCGATGAAGACCATAGATCTCATGTCACCGTCCCCGAAAGTGACGATTTTGTGGAAGCTTCGTCGCTCTCGGAGGAGCAGCTACATTCAAGAAACAGCCGACCGTCATCAAATGGCGACCAGCCGTCTTCGGGAAACGAACAGCCGTCCTCGGGAAACGACCAGCCGTCCTCGGGAAACGACCAGCCGTCCTCGGGGAGCAGCCAGCCGTCCTCGGGAGACGACCAGCCGTCCTCCCCAGACGGCCGCCCACCCTCGTTGGAAGGCCTGGAGGTGCACCCCGTGGACCGGTACCGGTACGGGCCTCCGCGAGTGGCCATCTCCTCCGAGCCGCTGCCGGACCGGTACGGCACCCCGCTGACGGTGCTGCGGTCCCGGGTACACGGCGAGCCCCGGCACCGGTACCGTCCACCGGTACCGGGCCGAGGCTACCGGCACAGGAGCCCTCCGAGGGGCGACTACCGCCACTATCACGTCAGCTCTCTGCACGGCAGCGCTCATCGCAGCCCTCACACGAAACCTTACAGTAGTCCTCAGGCCAACTATCACATTGATATTCACACCAATTCGTATGCTGATTTTCACACTAATCCTCAGGCTAATCCTCATGTCAGGCCCCAAGGTTCTCGCATCAGCACTTTCGTTCATTCTCACACTAGTTCCCACAGTGATAGCGTTTACCCACTGATCAGACCCATTCACAGGCCGCCAATATCAAAGTTTCGCCCTTATGACGAGGAAATTCACGAGCTGGATAAAGAAGACCGACGAGAAGAGGAGTCTGGTGGCAAGCTGCTGCATCTGGTAACACGGAGCACTCTGCAGCCGGACTCTGAGAGACCGTCAGTGGCTTCAGAAGCCACACAGGCAGACAACGACCTGAAAGGAGAGTCTTACAGCTCGTACGGCCAGGGACGGGAGTCTTCGAACTGGGCGAAGGAGCCTGATCAGGCTCCTTCGACGGTGCCGATAAACGTTTATGGACCAGGAAACCGCCATACTTTGTTCTACAGACCACCAGTTCATCTCCACGACGCACCTCTCAAAGTTAAGGACGATGCAGAGACCAAGTCAAAAGCACATCCGAACCTCTCACTCTATGGCGATTATAAGCCTGTATATGTGAATTTCAACCATTATCTCGTTTCACCGGGATATGGATCTTATCCGGCCAGCACGGAGCGTGGAAAAGAGCCACTAATTACGACTAAACCTGAGTATGCTTCACAACTACCACACCTTTTCAAACAGGCGTCGAATGCGTCCAATAAAGGTGTGCTAAATAATATAGCACCGCCTCATTCATACTTGGCTACAGACGGTCAAGACGGTGCAGCTGGTTCTGTGCCAACGAATAGGCACGGCCCTCTCAGGATCAACAACGGCAAGCCTGTAAGAATCACGCCTGTACGGAACTACATTGCACCGCCCGTGACCAACCATCAAAGAAGGTCACTGACTGGGGATGAAGCAGCCCCAGCCATTCACCAAAAGCATAAGCGATTTCCTCCCCCTGAGTCCATCTCCGTGCTTCCCTTCGCCGCCGCCAGTCATCCTTCGACCACCTCACCGCCTCCCACAGAGCCCCTCACCTCTCCGGGCGCTAACCGGACGGCCAGCAGCATCATGGAGCTGCTGCAGAGCTCCAACGCCTCCACCCTGATCCAGCTGCTGCGGCTGGCGGAGCTGGACACCCTGCTGGCTGACACAGGTAGGTGGCGACACGGCCACACGCTGATTATTTGCTTGGAGCGACTTTTATCCCACCAATCGCATCACCAAATCCACCGGAGGCGTTCACTGAGTGACCGTTTAACTAATTTCACCCCTGACCGGTCGTGTCACTCCGACGAGCCCGTCTCCAGTGACCTCCCGTATACTAACTGTCACCGCTGTGTTGACGGCCCGTCATGGCGTGTCGGTGGACGGGCGGTCACACATGGTGTCAGCCGGCTGACACCGGCACGGTCACACATGGTGTCAGCCGGCTGACACTGGCGCGGTCACGGCCGCTGCGCCTGGAGTGTGGGGAGGCATCCGGGCTGTTTACTATATACGACAAACGGTGCGAATCGTGTGGGATATTGGGGTCAGGGGTTGGATTCCCATGCCGTGAAAAGGTGGCGATTATCGCGCGTCGAGTCACACATCAGATGACTCGAGTCTGCAAGTAGGTATGGGAAACTACGCTATTGTCAATGAATGGATATTATTTTATGTCCGTCAAGACAACCCATATTCAGCCCAGATTCAGCACGGATTCAGCCCAGATTCGGGACACCTCCGATCAAGCTGAAAATCGCACACAATGTAGGCCATGACATGCCCAATCCACAGTCCAAGTCATTTGGTGGCACTCCCAGCCGTTTGACCTACAGAGGTCAGCAAAGGTCACGTGGCCCAAATTTGCACAGCAGATTGTGGCCCACCCAATAAAGCTAGAGCGCTAAAAATGGCACCAATCGACACGCCAGCATCTAATCTTACTTTCCCAACACTCATTTGACCTCTCAAGGTCATGCGATGACCTAAGGTCATTTGTGGGCTATGTCGAAAATACACTTGCACAGCAGCTTTCGAGCAGATGATATTGACCAAATTCCAAATCAAAAGACATCATCGGGTAGCCCATAGGCTGTAGAAACTTTCCTTAAAAACCGCTTCTCGATTTGTGACCCCGTTTGACCTCGGCAGGTCAAAATGTGCAAATAAACGACACTCAATACGTCGCAGCCCGGATTCAGCCCAGATTCGGGACACCTCTGATCAAGCTGAAAATCGCACACAATGTAGGCCATGACATGCCCAATCCACAGTCTAAGTCATTCGGTGGCACTCCCAACCGTTTGACCTACAGAGGTCAGCAAAGGTCACGTGGCCCAAATTCGCACAGCATATTGTGGCCCACCCAGTAAAGCTAGAGCGCTAAAAATGGCACCAATCGACTCGCCAGCATCTAATCTTACTTTCCCAACACTCATTTCACCTCTCAAGGTCATGCGATGACCTAAGGTCATTTGTGGGCTATGTCGAAAATACACTTGCACAGCAGTTTTCGAGCAGATGGATTGACCGAATTCCAAATCAAAAGACATCATCGGGTAGCCCATAGGCTGTAGTAACTTTCCTTAAAAACCGCTTCTCGATTTGTGACCCCGTTTGACCTCGGCAGGTCAAAATGTGTAAATAAATGACACTCAATACGTCGCAGCCCGGATTCAGCCCAGATTCGGGACACCTCTGATCAAGCTGAAAATCGCACACAATGTAGGCCATGACATGCCCAATCCACAGTCTAAGTCATTCGGTGGCACTCCCCACCGTTTGACCTACAGAGGTCAGCAAAGGTCACGTGGCCCAAATTTGCACAGCAGATTGTGGCCCACCCAGTAGAGCTAGAGCGCTAAAAATGGCACCAATCGACTCGCCAGCATCTAATCTTACTTTCCCAACACTCATTTGACCTCTCAAGGTCATGCGATGACCTAAGGTCATTTGTGGGCTATGTCGAAAATACACTTGCACAGCAGTTTTCGAGCAGATGGATTGACCGAATTCCAAATCAAAGCACATCATCGGGTAGCCCATAAGCCCTAGTAACTTTCCTCAAAAACCGCTTTTCGATATGTGACCCCGTTTGACCTCGGCAGGTCAAAATGTGCAAATAAACGACACTCAATACGTCGCAGCCCGGATTCAGCCCAGATTCGGGACACCTCTGATCAAGCTGAAAATCGCACACAATGTAGGCTATGACATGCCCAAACCACAGTCCAAGTCATTCAGTGGCACTCCCAGCCGTTTGACCTACAGAGGTCAGCAAAGGTCACGTGGCCCAAATTTGCACAGCAGATTGTGGCCCACCCAGTAGAGCTAGAGCGCTAAAAATGGCACCAATCGACTCGCCAGCATCTAATCTTACTTTCCCAACACTCATTTGACCTCTCAAGGTCATGCGATGACCTAAGGTCATTTGTGGGCTATGTCGAAAATACACTTGCACAGCAGTTTTCGAGCAGATGGATTGACCGAATTCCAAATCAAAGCACATCATCGGGTAGCCCATAAGCCCTAGTAACTTTCCTCAAAAACCGCTTTTCGATATGTGACCCCGTTTGACCTCGGCAGGTCAAAATGTGCAAATAAACGACACTCAATACGTCGCAGCCCGGATTCAGCCCAGATTCGGGACACCTCTGATCAAGCTGAAAATCGCACACAATGTAGGCAATTACATGCCCAATCCACAGTCCATGACATTTGGTGGCACTCCCAGCCGTTTGACCTGCAGAGGTCAGCAAAGGTCACGTGACCCAAATTTGCACAGCAGATTGTGGCCCACCCAGTAGAGCTAGAGCGCTAAAAATGGCACCAATCGACTCGCCAGCATCTAATCTTACTTTCCCAACACTCATTTGACCTCTCAAGGTCATGCGATGACCTAAGGTCATTTGTGGGCTATGTCGAAAATACACTTGCACAGCAGTTTTCGAGCAGATGGATTGACCGAATTCCAAATCAAAGCACATCATCGGGTAGCCCATAAGCCCTAGTAACTTTCCTCAAAAACCGCTTTTCGATATGTGACCCCGTTTGACCTCGGCAGGTCAAAATGTGCAAATAAACGACACTCAATACGTCGCAGCCCGGATTCAGCCCAGATTCGGGACACCTCTGATCAAGCTGAAAATCGCACACAATGTAGGCTATGACATGCCCAAACCACAGTCCAAGTCATTCAGTGGCACTCCCAGCCGTTTGACCTACAGAGGTCAGCAAAGGTCACGTGGCCAAATTTGCACAGCATATTGTGGCCCACCCAGTAAAGCTAGAGCGCTAAAAATGGCACCAATCGACTCGCCAGCATCTAATCTTACTTTCCCGACACTCATTTGACCTCTCAAGGTCATGCGATGACCTAAGGTCATTTGTGGGCTATGTCGAAAATACACTTGCACAGCAGTTTTCGAGCAGATGGATTGACCGAATTCCAAATCAAAAGACATCATCGGGTAGCCCATAGGCTGTAGTAACTTTCCTTAAAAACCGCTTCTCGATTTGTGACCCCGTTTGACCTCGGCAGACGGCAGGTCAAAATGTGCAAATAAACGACACTCAATACGTCGCAGCCCGGATTCAGCCCAGATTCGGGACACCTCTGATCAAGCTGAAAATCGCACACAATGTAGGCAATTAGATGCCCAATCCACAGTCCATGACATTTGGTGGCACTCCCAGCCGTTTGACCTGCAGAGGTCAGCAAAGGTCACGTGACCCAAATTTGCACAGCAGATTGTGGCCCACCCAGTAGAGAAAGAGCGCTAAAAATGGCACCAATCGACTCGCCAGCATCTAATCTTACTTTCCCAACACTCATTTCACCTCTCAAGGTCATGCGATGACCTAAGGTCATTTGTGGGCTATGTCGAAAATACACTTGCACAGCAGTTTTCGAGCAGATGGATTGACCGAATTCCAAATCAAAGCACTTCATCGGATAGCCCATAAGCCCTAGTAACTTTCCTCAAAAACCGCTTTTCGATATGTGACCCCGTTTGACCTCGGCAGGTCAAAATGTGCAAATAAACGACACTCAATACGTCCCAGCCCGGATTCAGCCCAGATTCGGGACACCTCTGATCAAGCTGAAAATCGCACACAATGTAGGCCATGACATGCCCTACCCACAGTCTAAGTCATTTGATGGCACTCCCAGCCGTTTGACCTACAGAGTTCAGCAAAGGTCACGTGGCCCAAATTTGCACAGCAGATTGTGGCCCACCCAGTAGAGCTAGAGTGCTAAAAATGGCACCAACCGACTCGCCAGCATTCCATCTTACTTTCCCAACACTCATTTGACCTCTCAAGGTCATGCGATGACCTAAGGTCATTTGTGGGCTATGTCGAAAATACACTTGCACAGCAGTTTTCGAGTAGATGAATTGACCGAATTCCAAATCAAAGCACATCATCGGGTAGCACATAGGCCGTAGTAACTTTCCTCAAAAACCGCTTTTTGATATGTGACCCCGTTTGACCTCGGCAGGTCAAAATGTGCAAATAAACGACACTCAATACGTCGCAGCCCGGATTAAGCCCAGAATCGGAACACCTCCGATCAAGCTGAAAATCGCACACAATGTAGGCCATGACATGCCCAATCCACAGTCCAAGTCATTCGGTGGCAATTCCAACCGTTTGACCTACAGAGGTCAGCAAAGGTCACGTGGCCCAAATTTGCACAGCAGATTGTGGCCAACCCAGTAAAGCTAGAGCGCTAAAAATGGCACCAATCGACTCGCCAGCATCTAATCTTACTTTCCCAACACTCATTTGACCTCTCAAGGTCATTCGGTGACCTAAGGTCATTTGTGGGCTATGTCGAAAATATACTTGCACAGCAGTTTTCGAGTAGATGGATTGACGGAATTCCAAATCAAGGCACATCATCGTGTAGCCCATAGGCCGTAGTAACTTTTCTTAAAAACCGCTTTTCGATATGTGACCCCGTTTGACCTCGGCAGGTCAAAATTTGCAAATAAACGACACTCAATGCATCGCAGCCCGGATTCAGCCCAGATTCGGAACACCTCTGATCAAGCTGAAAATCGCACACAATGTAGGCCATGACATGCCCAATCCACAGTCCAAGTCATTCGGTGGCACTCCCATCCGTTTGACCTACAGAGGTCAGCAAAGGTCACGTGGCCC